TCTTCACTCAGTAGCCGCTTATCTATTAGGAAATGTAAGCTCTGTTGGTCTGTTCTAATGATGAACCGCCACCCCAATAAGTAATGTCGCCACTTCTGAACCGCCATAACAATAGCTATTAATTCGCGTTCATAAACTGATTTAAGCTTAGATTGTGCTGATAACCTTTTGCTCAGAAAAGCTAACGGTTTACCCTCCTGCATTAGAACAGCCCCTAACCCACTCCCTGAGGCATCCGTCTCAATGAAAAATTCTTTAGCAAAATCCGGCATTGCCAACACTGGTACTGTTGTCATTATCTTTTTAAGCTCCTCAAAGGCTTTTTGGGCTTCAAGATTCCATTGAAATGCATCTTTCTTGAGTAAACATATGAGAGGAATGGCTATTTTCTCGTAATCCTTGACAAACCTTCGGTAGTACCTAGTCAAACCAAGAAATCCCCATAATGCCCTGATATCCTTGGGAACTGGTGACTGTAAAACACTGTCAATTTTGGAAGAATCAACTGCCACCCCATCCACTGAAATGACATGCCCCAAATATTCTAATTTCTGTTGGCCGAAGAAACACTTCTTTTTGTTGGCAACCAGTTGGTGTTCTTCAAATGTGCTAAGGGTGATCTCTAGGTGTCGAACGTGATCTTCTTTTGTATGACTATAAACCAATATGTCGTCAAAGAAGACCAAAATGAACCGACGCAGGAAGGGTCGAAATATGTCTTTCATCAAGGCTTGGAAAGTGGTTAGGGCATTGGTCAAGCTGAAAGGCATGACTAAGAATTCATAATACCCTTCGTGTGTTCGAAATGCCATTTTGTGGGTATCCTCATTCTTCACTCGAATTTGGTAGTAGCCAGACTTCAAATCCAATTTAGGAAAAATTGAGGATCCTCCCAACTCATCGAATAATTCATCCACCATTAGAATGGGAAACTTATCTGGTATCGTTATCTTATTAAGGGCCCTATAATCAACACAGAATCTCCATCCGCCGTCTTTCTTTTTCACCAATAACACTGGGCTGGAAAAGGGACTAAGGCTGGGTTTAATGATTCCGGAAGCTAACATCTCGCCCACCAGTTTCTCTATTTCATTTTTTTGGTAATAAGGATAGCGGTAAGGTCTAATGTTTGGGGGTTGGGATCCGGGAGTGAGGCTAATGGAATGGTCTTGGGTTCTAGGTGGCGGTAATCCTGATAAGGAAGTGAAGACTGACTAAAACCAATTCAGAACTGGTAGGATGCTGTTGTCCCCCTCAATTTCTAAATCCCCTTGCTTCTGTAAATTACCAAACTCAATAAGATACCCATGTCATTTCCGTTGGATTGTCCTAAGCATGGCCTTTAAGGAAACTAGGGTCTTGCTTAATGCAGGGTCACCCACAATCTTCACAACTCTGTCTCCTAACTTAAACTTCATCACTTGTTTTTTCCAATCAACTGTTGTCTCCCTTAAGGTTTCCAGCCAAGCGATACCCAAAACCACATCCCCGCTGTTAATCTCAAATGGGAAAAAATTCTGTATAATCGGAACTCCTTGGATATCCAGCTACACCTCCCTAAATTCTCCCTTACATTGCACTCGATAACTGTCACCAACTCTCACCATGAAAGTCTGCATCTGCATCACAGATATCCCTAATTTCTTGGTCACCCCCTTGCTAATAAAATTGTGTGATGCTTCACTATCAATCAACACAATCACTTCAGCCCCTCTGATTTTACCCTTCACTTTCATGGTTTTCGGACCCTAAATACCCACAACCGAACTAATCGAGAGCTCCGTGTCATCTTGTTGTTGTTCCACTACAGGTTCACTCAACTCACCCCCACCATTGTTTGTCTCATCCTGGTCATCCTCTTCATCAACCAAAATGACATGGAACTGCTTGTCCCCACACCAATGGTCTGGAAAAAACTTCACATCACATCAGAAACATACCCCTCGCGGTTTTTTCTTTGAATCTCTAGCTCTGTCATTTGTTTGAAAGGAAACTCCCTCTTGAAATTTGAACTGGCCGGTGGACATTGAACGGAGTTGCTGCTGCCGCGTTGGTTGTCAATTAGAATAGCATGGCCATGTCGATCATTCCAGTTTCGGCCTATCTGTGCACTAACATTTGGGATTGGAGCTACATTTGCGTTAACGCTACCTGTTGGTATCATCGGATTAGAGAAATATGTGTTCCTTGACCCATTTTCCTGCTGCCCCATATTCTTACCCGTCCACCACCATAAGCCCAAGCTATTTTATTAATTCCATTCCCCCCTCCAGACCTTACACCTTTACTTAGCCTAGTTTTTAATTCATCCAAGGCCCAGTTCTTCTCCTCTATTTTCTGGGCCAATTCAATTAACTGAATTATTGAATTGGGCTGGCCTAGTCTGACTTTAGCCTTAATTTCTGGCCTGAGTCCATTTAGAAATGCAGCCCACAATAAGTCTTCTTTCTCATCTCTTAATGGCGCAGATAACGCTTCAAATTTGCGGCAGTAGTCTTCAACAGAACCTATCTGCCGGATTCCATCAATGCCTCATATGGTCCCATCTTGGAATCCCCCAAACTGATGAAGTAAAGAGAGCTTAAACGTCGGCCAAGATGCGACTGGAGCACGGATTTCCATCCATTGGAACCAATTTATTGCGTCTCCTTCCATACACACAGTCACCGTGTTCAACCTTTCCTCCTCCGCCACATGATACACATTAAAGTATCGTTCAACCCAGAATAACCACCCATAGGGATCCTCACCCATGAATATTGGCATTTTGATTTTCCGACCAGCATATTCTGGTCGACTTCGGCCCGTCAAGGTGTTTTCATCGTTCATGTTTAGGTTAGGTTCCTCGTTCTCCTCCTCCACGTTTGGATTCGGGTTCATCGGAACTTCTGTCGACCCACCCCTTTTTGCTCTCCTAGCTTCCTCCTCGTCTTTGCGTCTAATCCAAGCCTGGATTTCCAGTAAACAATCCCTCATCATTCCCATATCTTTCTCCACAATATCCAGTCTATTTTCCATCCTTGTTCCAACCATTCCTTAATCGTTACCATGCTCTGATACCACTTTGATAGAACCCTCCTTCTATCTCCACCTGCAACAACTATTCATGCACTTCAAATACCAGAATACTCAGTCAACTGAACAACAAACGCAGCAAATCAATCCAGACTTTCAGAAATACTTCTACAATATTAATTATATTCCAACAATCACCGGTTCACTACTCAGCAAATATGCCAAGTACAATCCAGAGAATGAACAGTAATAGACAATAAGCAAATCGACAAAAGAGAACAAAAATAAAGAAAGAAAAAATTAACAAGGACAACCAACTGGCTTCGAGGGCCGGTACCTCCCCAACCCAAATTCCTTTTACTTTTTTTTTTTTGATAGCCAATTATTCACTGTCACCGTTTTTATGCACCATTCCCACTCTAACAGAATTATGTCAAACCCACTCTGAAGATGCCACCTGTCCAATGCTGAGTGTGCAGTAAAGTGTCATTTATCCTCTATTCCCTCTCTTATTCTTTCTACTGAAGACACTAAGGGGGTCTCATCAGAGAATAATACTTATGACCTATCATATCAAAAATAAGGCGAGAAATCTATATGGTGATCATCCAAGTGGTTAATGTCATTCACATTTTCAGTCGAATTGCTGTGGAGGTTCACGTATTTTAATTAATTATTTTCAGGTAGATTTGTTATTTGTACATACTTATGTAATCCAGTTGTCATTTTACCTTTTATAGTCTGTCGTACCAGGTTATATAACTTAGCAACACCAAGAATGCTTTGCCTTCATCAAAAGTGAATAATTTTTTTGGGAAAAAAAAATATGGACCTCTTCTTTTGTAGTTATAAAACAGACCGGCTTTCTTGGTTTGAAAATTGTGTTGGAGAGGAATCAATTAAAATTAATTGAAACTTCATTTGTAACAATTTCCATATTCACAATATTGGAGGATTTGGATAAATTTGACAGCTATACTTTAGTGAATCTCAAGGGATGCCATATGTTTGAAAATGTTCTTTTTTAGAGCTTACATATTATTGTTTGTCCTAATCAGTTTAAGTTCTTGAGTTCAATAGTTGTTAAACTTAGTATTAAAGTTATGAAGACACGGAGGCTTTGTATTTGAATTCCCTATTGTTTAATTTGATAACATTAAGTTGTGAATTTGTTTGTAGTTTTTGTTTCATCCACATGCCTTACTTGGGAAGGGGCATGTTGGAGCTGAAGTATTGTTGTTGAACTTTGTCTATCATCATAACTTTGTTTTGGTTTCGTGGTTGTTGATAATTTTCTTTCCGATTGAGATGCTAATTGTATGCGGTTTTCTTTGTTATGAACAAGTCTCTATATGACTCTACAAACTGATTTTCATTTATTGCCGTTTTACAATTTGTTTCCTAGCATGTATTGCAACATTTGCCAGTATGTTTGCTCTCCATCTATACATGCTCAATTTTCCTTTTTTTTTTTTTTAATTGAAATTGATGAATATCCCCTAGGTCTATATAGGTTATAAGGAAAAGAAACCCATAAAAGATTTAAGTCATCTCCCTTGTTTAATGTCTATTCCACAGATATTCATGTCAATACACTTGTAACTAATATTAAATGATCAACGTGAATGGTCATATCACTTATGCTAAAGAACCACTTATCACAAAAGCTCAGGTTAACAGGTAAGGGACCATAACTCCTCAAGTGCTACTGCATGTCAATCAAATACAATGTGATCAAGGATACAACTATAACCATAAACATAAATTCTTGTAGCTTAACTAATAGAAAAGGGGGATTCCTATTCAAATTCGCTTGGTCAAACGGATTCGATATGCTAAAATTATCGTACTTAAAACCTTAAGCTAATAGATGAGTGTCTGGTAATAGTATTTAAGCTATAAGAACTCATGCTTGTCTTGGTATTACTGAATTAACTTTCTACTTACTGCAATGAGGTTTCCTAAAATACATCTGGTTATTATAGGAGACGTTGCACATCCATAAGGAAGACAATGTATCATGTGATTTCTCAAATGATCAAATGGAATCTGCATCCTGTGGGTCTGATGCGGATTTTAAAGGACAAGAAGGAAGCAAGAAAACTTCTAAGGAAGGCCTCATTAAGAATTGGCCCTTAATGTCTTCTATTATTGTTTACTCTATTGTTGCACTGCATGATATGGCTTACTCAGAGGTATATTTCTACATGATATATGTTTGG